TTTAGTCGTAGATTTTAAGATTCAGACCTTGAATATAAATCCCTTCAGCACCAGATTTACACCTAGGAACATTACAGCCAACACATCTTTCACTGCAAATGATGGGAAGATCTGATTAGAAGACATCTGCAAAGACAGATTGGTCCCTTTGGGTATATGAGAGAGAATATGTCGGAACGCATTTTTGAAAGCTCATTCCTGCCTCTCCTGTTCATGCATACACTGCCTTGTTATAATAGTTGTGTTGCATCAGAAGTACCGTATTACAGCCAGACCTAGTGGAGTATAAGCAAATTCTATTATGACAGACATATGAAACCAGAGCGCACATATCTCAGGATTTATTACTGTCCATTTCAAAGAAAACAATGATTTGGATGTCTGGGTGAGGGAGAAAGCTACTGCATTGAGACGTAATTTATATGAAAATATAATGCTTTGCCATCTCTGGTTTCGGTGCATTATTACACAAAAGACGGGGGAAAAAACAGTGCCTTTAGGACAAGGATCATCTTGTAGAAGTGCAATGTGTATTTCTGGGAAGTAGCCTAAAGTCGGTTGTAGTTTGTGTGCGTGGAGAAATAGTTCTTCAAATACATTGACAAAGGCTACTTTATCTCAAGACATTTACGACTATATCTACTTCAAGGTAGCAAATAAATGATGCAGAGACTGTTTCAGCCAGAACATAACAGGGTAACAGTCTTAGCTATTTGAGCTAAGCTAACTTAGCTCTGAGTTTTTTGGACTTTGTGTCTCTTTGTCTTTATAGTAATCTATGTTTATATACGCTAAATCATTTGGAGGACATTTTAAACAATTTACATAAACTCTAATAGCAAAAACATTAGCAGCAGTCTCGATTCCGCGAAGAAAGCAGTTGCTGATGGTCGACAGAAGATCTAATGAAACAGGTTAGACCCTGAAGCCTGTCTATCTTTATATACATACTTAAAAAATTTGCTTTAGACGTAACAGGTATCATTTTGGCATTTCCGAACGAATAGTGATGATAGTATGTATTTATTAGACTTGCATAAGAATGCATCACATCAAGTCCCTAATTCTGAGCTCGTGTTTGCAGATGCTAGAGACTGATTCAGGAGAAAACTCTTGCACTTACAACAAAAATATGTTTCACAAGTATTCAGAAGCTCAATAATTGAAAACTCGTTCC